AACATCACCCTGGATCAACTCCACCCGAACTCCATACGGAATGTAGTGGGGTCCATTTCTCTTTGTTTTGACCGTTCCCTCTCCATAGATTTAGATGTTCTCAGTACGATTTTGGCTATAAAGAAGAGCGCTTCGGGCGCTCTCCCCGGGCATAGGCGGTCTTACTACATGTCCCCCCGCCCGGGTTTTAAACTCATGCACAAGCTCCCGAGCAAAGTTCCAGCTTGGAAGCGGGATTACTTCGTAGTCCGGAGCAGTACGGGGTGGCCCTTCCCCACCGATTGGAGGATAGCCGTTCAAGACCCTGGTATCATCCTGGACGGGAAGACCAAGAAGGAGCTCCAGTCACTGGCTCAACTCGGGTTGCATTATAAAGACTTCACTTCTGAGGAGAAGCTCGTCTGAGCGAGCTTGAGTCCGGGTAGATTTTCCCCACTTTGGCTTTCTGCTCATATATTTGCTTCGGGTTACTGATGTCGTGTTTCACCGCAGGTCCCATGGAGGCGGAAAAAATAGACAACCAGAAGCTCTTCCACCAGATGAAGAGGAAGAAACGCGTGGCAAAGAAGGCGCACGTTGGGTCCCCGCAAGCTTCAGCCAAGCCTCCACTTCCGCAGACTTCAGCCTCGGGGCCCGAGGTGGTAGCCGCGCCCGTCATCGACTTGGAAGAGGGGGCTGTGCCTAAGGGACCCGAGGTGATGGCGGAACCTGCCGCTAAGCCCGCCGAGCCTGCTGCCGAGCACACTAGACTTGCCAGAGAAAGCGTTGTCGAGGCCAACGCTGCTGCTGCCGGGGCTCATCTTGCTGAAGCTGCTGCCGAGGTCTCCGAGAGCTCTACTAATGATGTGGAGATGACGGCTTCCAGCTCGGAGGGTCAGGGGAGCCAAACTATCTTGAACCCCTAGTGTAGCCTGAAGAAGAGTAAGCTGGCTGCATACTCGGGGGAGGTCAGCGAGTGGACCGAACTCACTCCTGGTCAGCTCGGCACCCGAGCCGTCACCCATACTATGGTGGTGAGTTCCCCTTCTTTTTCTCTTCTCTCTTCTTCTCTTTCTTCTCTCTTTTTTTTTTTGGTGGTCTCCCTCTTAATCGGTTCTCCTTTTTGCAGGTGAACTCCGCCATTCCCGCCTTGACCCTCCAATCAGATCGACATTTGAGGTGGGCTCTAGAGGCTGAGGAATCGTCTCGCGTAGCCCATACTGAGTTGAGGGCAGCTCGTTGTTAGGTTCACCACTTGGAGAGCGACGCCTTGTCTCAAAAGAGTTTCATCGAGGTGTTAATGTCAGAGAAGGGAGAGCTGGCTCGAGATAAAGACAAGTTGAGGGCCGAAGTGAACGGTCTCAAGGTCGGTCAGGAGGCCTTAGGGCTCGAGGTGAGCAGCCTCAAGGCTGAGCGGGATGCCCTGAGGCTTGAGGTACAAGGCCTCAAGGAGGCGAAGGGGAGACTGGAGCATGAAGTGGGGTACCTCTAGAAGGACATAAGGGAGAAGACTGCAATCTTTGAAGGTGCT